TCAAGTTTAATATATTATAATATATAATACAAGGGAGATGAGAGGTTAAGAAGTATGGAAAAAAAGATAGATAGATAGATAGATAGATAGATAGATAGATAGATAGATAGATAGATAGATAGATAGATAGATAGATAGATAGATAGATAGATAGATAGATAGATAGATAGATATACTGCATGATCCCTTTATCTAACTGGTGTACAAACACTCTGTTCATGTTCTACCAGTTTTCCTCTTAAAACCTCCCTTCCTTGTGTTATTTTTCCTAACCCATTTCTCCCATAGTTTGTTGTAAATAAAGCTATCTTCCTTTAAATATTCTAGTATTTTCATATCTCATTCCAAAGCATTATGAATAACTCATTTTTATCTCTTGTATTTTCATCTCGAAGTCTTTTTTCTTCTTATGCTTAAGTAATGTATTGAACTATTTTCTTTTCCTTCTATTATACTCTCCAGGTTGCAGATTTTGTTTTCCCCTCCTTTGTCAAACTATGGGAGAAATGGGTTAGGAAAAATAACACAAAGCATATAAGGCATATTAAGATAATATGTGGCAATAAAAATATAGTCTTGCAGTGGAAACAGGTTGTCAAACTAATTTTCAACTAAATCCTTATTTTTTTCATTTTCCCTCTTTAACCAAATCTTGTGAGAGCTTGACCCAGCATTGTAATGCTCCTGTTTTAGACTAGCAAGAGTGGGGCTATTCCTCAGCACTTTACTAAAAGTCCTATTATAGGAAATCACTCATATAGAAGCTATTTAACTAGAATATTAAAGTTTCTATTAATAAGTAATAAGGCATTTTTACTCAGTACAGCATCTCTTCTCAACTTTTTTAAAAAAATCTGTAAGCTTACTATATGTCCTTTCGCTACAATTTATAATTCTTTTCTGGGGTTAAAAATACATTGCACAGTAAGCTTGAAGCAAATGCAGGTAGCTCATGTGGAGGTAGTTTTAAATTAACAGCAATGGAATGAAAACCTGCTTTTCTAGGTCTTTGATAAACAACCAAATCAATAGCTCAACAACTGATCAGTACACTGCCTAATTAGGGTCCTAGTTAGTGAAACAGAACAGTCATGAAAAGATACCATTAGTGTCCCAGCCAGTAAAAAAATAATGGATTTTTAAACAGGCAAAAGAAAGAACGGGTCGTGGCTCTTTTTGCCATACTTTTTAGCTCCAAATGGAATTACAATTGAACTGCAAGCATATTTTATATAAAACATTAGTGTTTAAAATGAGTTAGATTCAATAAGATGCTCATTAGGCATTTTTCACAAGGCATGTGGAAAAAGTATATTGTATTTCATACCTCTGTTTCATAAGAGAAGCCATAATACATATATGCACATTGATACAGTTAAGATTAAGTAAGTTGCAAAAATATGAATTGGAGATCATAGCTCAACCATTAGCATCGTTTGCCAAAATATACATATTTTTCTTTGCAATTTGGGAACAATGTTTGCTTTTTCATGGACAGCATGAAAAATAATCAGATAATTCCTGTTAATGCATTATAGAAAATAAGAATTAAGACAAACTGTACTGCACCTATCATTTATATTTTAACACAAAGGCCAGGGAAAAGATAACAAAGGCTGGATCCCAAAGCACCTCTGGCAATTATATTATTCTCAGTATGTCCACTGCCAGCTCCATCTTTTTTCCATAAACCCTACCCTCATATTCAGTGGCTGAGAATGACTGCTCCCCTTTTCCTTCTGTAGCAACTAATAATTATTCCCTGCCTTTTTCTGTACTAGGAAAAGCAAAATGGAATGTAGGACTTTAGACATCCAGATCTTGGTACCATCTGGTCTGGTTTGGATAGAACCATTTAGCACAGACATGTCAAACTCACGATGTCACATGACATATCGGAACTTTTTCCCCATTGCTGGCAATGGGGTGGGCATGATTTCCTGGTGACGTGTCCGACCCATGGGCCAACAGTTTGACACACGATTTGGCACTTGAGCCAGTAGTTTTGCTATACTGATTTCTATACTGAATCCATCGCAAGGTGAGGATTGAGCAGGGAACAGGGGCTAGCACAGTCAAAATACTTTACAATTAGGTGGCTTCCGGTTCCGAATCGCGGCACTGGTGGATGTGCGAGGAGAGAGCGCTCTCTCTGCCGCCCAGTTTCCCTTCGTCGGGCAACCCTGAAAAGGGTCATAAGTCACCTTGGAGGGGCGACGACCGTGAGGAGGACCCTCAACAGATTGTGGAAGGGTGACAGCCCTTCCATTTGATCTGAGGCAGCTCCTTTGGACCGTCGGAGAAAAGATCGGCCATCAACATGGCCGATCACTAAGCCGTGCCAGCCGAAAGCCAAAATTACCACCAAGCACAACAAAAGCACCACGGAGGATATGGGTGAGACCTTTCCTTACCTTTCTTTTACCCCAACTACCTTCCTATGAAAGCCTCCTGAAATTTCTTCCCTGCTCTTAATACAGCGGCGTCTGCCTACTCTGGGAAATTAAGCTTTGAAAAGAAAAGAAAAGAATAACTAATCTAAACAACTAAATAATTGAACTTTCATCTTTTGGATACTTTGGGGTCCCCAAAAGTTCCTATTATAGGGACCTATCATATTACCTATTTGTTAAGTTGGGGGAAAAATTTCAATTGGATAAAAGCTTAACTGGAGTCTAGAAAAAAGATTATATAGCCTATCGGGAACATCTTGTGGCGAAGCCTGGTACAGCAACTGAATTTCTTTGACTGTGAGGCTTGCCTACTCCCTAGATTTGCCCTTCACATTATCTAAAAAAGATAAGAACCTGACACAGCTGGGTGGTGAAAACAACTTCTAGGAACTGTGGAGATGGACATTTGCTGACTTTCCTAAACATAGCCTCCACTAAAAGACTATCTCTAATCACCATAGAAATGGAGGAATCCTACCACAACTTAACTATAAACTTATACTTGAAAAAATTCTTGAAGCCACTGAGCTAATGAACTACAGAGTGAAAAACAAAGATGTCACCTTAAAATTACAAATTGAAGCCCAGATTCCAACTGATCAACTTATAAACCAAAAAATAACAGAAGAGGAACAAACTAACATCAAAGAGGATTACAAATTACAAATTGAAGCCCAGATTCCAATTGATCAACTTACAAGCCAACAAAAGAGGAACAAACTAAAACCAAAGAGGATTCTACACAACAACAAACACAATTTACTGAGAACTTTGACAATCGAACTCTGACCTTAATCAAACTACCTGCAACTCCAAAAGCAACAGAAACTGAAGAAAGCAACATTAAGACGGAGGATGCCATAGATCAGCAAACACAATATACTGCGAACTTAGACAATCTAGTCAATCAAATAACAACTACAACACCAGATATGACCTTTTATTCTAGCCAGACGAAACTGGAAGAAGAAGAAGAAGAAGACCAGACTGAGTGGATGACAAATACTTTAAACCAAACATCGAGATTTGAACTATTGGGCAACAATCTAATGATTACAAAGGAGCCAGTTCCTTTGAAAAATTGATAACTGGATGTTCTCCCTTGATTCAAACAACATGTGTAGGAATGAAGGGAGACTCATCTGAGGATTTAAAGGCACTGGTATGGAAGCCTGGTTGGCACAAAAAGAAAGCTAGAGTTAGGTTTAAAAATGGGATCTTTTTTCTCCTTTTTCCTTTTTTCGCTGACTGATGATGGAACAGCTTAAAATCCTACTTAATGGACTAAGGAGATTTTTAGAGATACTGATTGATTTAATATCTAGGACTTAGATTTATAAAGGAAATGAAAATTAGCCATTAGATTATAGTTTTGAATTGTAATATGGAAGTGGATTTGTGACAATGAAAGATATTTTACTAATAAATGATGAGGTATTAGGACGCGAAATAGAATATATTTGTGAAATAAAGCAAAATGTAATTATCTGAATAACATGTATATTTTAGACATGACAATTATTTTGTAATAAAATTAGGGAAATTTGGGTTACCCGAAGTTTAAATATTACGGTTACCAAAGGCTAAATTGGAACACGGTAATTGGAATTAGGTAAAACTTAAAAACAGGACTTGGATATGTATACAAAATTATATTGACAAATGTATTGACTGACTGAGCTATAACTAGAATTGTATTAACTTGAATATGATATAATAATTAAGGGAAATAGAGAGGGAATTTTTAATGACGCAACCTGAGATATGTATGAAAGATTTTGTTACTGGACTATTGACTACCCAATCACCATGCTGCTTCCTAAACACTTGATGTAAAATTGAAAAATCAATAAAACTTGTTTTAAAAAAATACTTTACGATTAGGTAGCAGTCAGATGTCCTCTCCCAAGTTAGAATGAACAAGGCCATCTGGGTTTTCTGGGCGAGTGGTAAAAAGAGGGGGAGAACGATTCATAGGTCTAGTGCTGTGTTGGTTAAGAGAATTTACACAAAGCCCTTCAGCACTAACCAAATAAATGTTGGACAATTAAATTCTATATTTCTATGAAATTTCAGGCAAATCTTTATGTCAGCTGATAATTTTGTTCAGGTATTTGGAAGGCAATAGTAAAAGAAACAATGACACCAAGTCTTTATTGGGAGTGATTAGAAATGGCAGAAAGTGTTTAGTTGTAGGTTTCTGACTAAAGGTGAATTAAGCAAAGTTTGCTGAAAAAGGTAACACTTGAATTTTTTGCTGCATTTCTTGATAATAGTAAAAAAAATGGCAATACATGAATATACACCCATCTTGGACAACCTACAAATCTTCACAAAGGAAGAAGGAACAAATCAACATTAAATAAAAAAATATTATGGTTTCTTTACTCATGTCTCAGAGCTATTTAGATGCTCTCAAAAACATAATGATTTAGCATTATGTATCAACAATCAAGGTTAGTAGATGTCAATGTTAATTACAGCAATTCCAGTTCAATGTTTCATATAATAGCTACAAAGATAAGTGGATAAAAATGCTTCACCTACCATTTCAATTTGCCTTTCTGGCCTCCTGAGAACTACCAGTTGTATCATGCCACGGATATTTCCTTCCATAGACATAGAACGCCTCAAAGTCTCCATGGCTTCATGGTTTGATTTTCCAAGCAGAGAGTCACTATTTACTGCAATAAGCTGGTCATTTATTCGTAACCGCCCATCCTGCAAAATAATACAGCCCCATCTTTTAAACCTTTTAAAGTATCAGACAACAATGTGTTAAATGCATTATTTAAAAAATGAAGTATTTCCATAAAATTCTATATATTCTAAAAATACACATCTCTTTAAAACACCCTATTATTTTTACTCCAACACTCTATTATTTTACTCTAACCTGGAAAGGCATAGGTCACTGTGGTTAGTGGCTACTTCAAAATATTGGAAGAGCTGGAAACAACAGCAGAATTTTCATGATTACTATTCCTACAAGCATATTGTACTGTAAAATAAATTCTGCATTCTTCAACACATAAAAATAAAAAGACCATAGTAAATCCCCAAAGGGGCCAATTTCTGAGAACCCAGGATTTCTCAACCAGATACCCAACTGTGACATCCAGATTATAACAAAAGGCAGAGAAAAATTTATTATATAAATTATATTAAATGTTCAAATTGGTTGTCACATTCTTCTAAACATTTCCTTACTTTTTGATGCATGACCTTTGAACATTCCTAAATACAGTAACATTTTTCTATAAAATATTATTTCAATCAATCAATTTTTATTACAGTCACAGATCAGCAAATAACAGTGTTAAAACATAAAAATAGTAAATAGAGAGTAAGAGAGAGAGAACACCAAAATATATTTTTCAGGTATCACTCTGTCAACATCAGGAAATTATACACTACAAACTTATAATAGATGATACAAGATGATAGACCTTACTATGGACAGGAATTTCAACTCAGAAGAAGCTAGAAAATTATATGAATTCAATCTGTATGATACCACAGTAGTCCGGGAATTATTTCCATCAATTTACTCTTTTGCAGGACTCTCCTGAGGCCATACAGGAAGGTAAATATTGGCTGTCATTATGATCTATTTCTCTAATTGTGAATTGACCTATGGGGCTGGACTTTTCATACACTCTTGCAATGTTTCTTGCAACGTTCAACAAAATTCACTTAAAGCACCTAAATGGAATATTTGTAAATGTGAATCTTTCCCCATATATGTGTGTGTGTGTGTGCGAGTGTCTGTCCGTGTGCATACCTGAATGTAAGAAGAAAAAATCTTTTTCAGAGACATGGCACGGTTGTAACAGCCATTAATTATGTGTCAATGATAAAAGCTATTAGCTATTTTTAAAATAATTAGCTTAGTCATCCAAGTCCAAAGTTACAGATTTTATTTTATTTTATTTTTAATATGCATAGAAGAAAACATGTCACAAAGAGAAGATTGTTATAACTATAACTGATCCACAGCACTTGCCCAGTGTGTTATTGCTAAGAAACCTAAAAAAGAGAGATAGAAAAAAAGGTTAAAAAATCAATAATAATTCTGAAATAAGGTGTGGTCAAAGCTGTTGGAGCAGGGGTTCTTGTATGACAAAAAATGTTGAGCACTACTAAAATTTGGGGGAATGTGGGCAAAATTGGAATATTTAAAAGAAGACTAATGGAACACAAATGGTAATAATTGCCGACTATAGCAAAGAATGAATTTGTTTCTACTTTGTTCACAATTAATTTGAAAGTACTGATGAGTATGTATCTTTCATGTTTTGGTTATAAATGGAATATATGGCTTAGATATTCACTACAATTACGCTGCACAGCAAGATGCATTGGATAATATATCAGAATCCAGTTTTTTTAAAAAAATGGGTATTTATAACAGCATTTTTGTTTTTATTTTTTTTAACTTTTTATTTAATTTTCTTTTTATATTTTTATGCTTTAAAATTCCTTGTACCCTACCCTCATGCTGATCTTTGACTATAAAAATTGATTTGATTTGAACGACAAGGAAACTGAGCAGAAATGTAATAATTATTAATGACCCTTTAGTTACAATAGCTTGGTTTAATAAAGAATTTAAAGGTAGCTTCAGTCTTGTATTTGCTCAAAGTATCTTATTGCAGCTTGCTTAAAAAAATCAAAACAATGAATATATCATTGCCATGCTCAAGATACAGCAAAATACAATTCAAGTTTCCTTGTGGTAAATTTAAAAAATCAAGAGTGTTCTTCTTGTTACAAGTCTCCAAACCTTTCTAAAAACAATATAAAAATCCATAGCCAACATTATCTACTGAATGTAACAGAAAACCGAAGGCCCAAGCACACATGAACAGCATGTCCAAGTTGTTTTCTCAGTGGTCTAAGACAGGGGTTCCCAACCCCCGGGCCAAGGCCCACTACTAGCCCTTGAACCATTCAGAACCTGGCTGTGAAAGTGGCAGACAAGTGCACATGTGTGCATCCCCACTTGCATGAGCAGCGAGAAGTTCGTATGCACTTTATTTGCGTGAGCAGAATTCTTGCTTGCTCGCCACTCATGTAAATGGAGCTGCGCTCGAGCACCTGCCCATCACTCACACGGAACCATCCCTTCTCCTCCCCCCCCAAAGCCAGAAAAATTGGGGAACTCTGATCTAAGACCA